TGGTTCTCAGTATTTACTCTGAATTTTATCAAATTGGAACACCACATTTTAGTTTGGAAGGCGTTCTACAATTTATAGTGAGCGAAGCTTTAACCTAAATTTAATTTTGAGACCTCTGTAAACCCGTTGTTTGCATCGATTTTTTTCTTTAAGGTTCGTTACTCCTTGGTTTTTAATACAATAACTCTTCTTTTGGATCAGAAAAATTGGTGAGCAGTTTGGGTGGCGGGTCAGTTTCTCTCCTCCATATGACTGATTTTATCAATTTTATTAAGAGAACGAAGACAGGTAAAGATACGATTCTAGTAACAATGGACGTATCAAGCTCGTACACAAATATACCACTTGAAGAAGGAATAGATCTAGTATGCCAAACATACGATAAGTTCCACAATAACAACACACACTACCCAAGGGAAATGCTTGGCTTCATCCTAAAAGAAAACTCATTCCAGTTTAAGGGAGAGGATTACCTCCAAAAACATGGAACCGTCATGGAAATAAAAACGGCAGTGTCTTTTGCTAATATCTTCATGGCGGAAACTGAGAATAAATTAATTCATCAAAGTTACAGCAAGCCAAGAGAATGGCAACGTTGCATTGATGACGTTCTCTCTCTTTGGGACTACAGTGAAAAGGACGTGGATCATTTTACTGCACAAGCTAACAAATTCCACCCTTCTAACGAGATTATTTTCCTTGATATAGTGGTATTTAAAGGAGAACGATGCACTAAAGAATCCATCCTGGACATCACAACGTACTAAAAACCGACAGAAACCTTTCAATATATTGAAAGGTTTCTGTCGGTTTTTAGTACGTTGTGATGTCAAGGATGGATTCTTTAGTGCATCGTTCTCCTTTAAATATACACACTTCACCTCATACGTTAAAAAGGCGTTAAAAGAGGTTTTATCAAAGGCGAAGCAATGCGATTGCTTAGAACTAACTCTTCAAACACAACATTTGAAGAGTTCCTCGCAAAATTCAAACTACGCCTCCAAGCACGAGGCTCATGGAAAGGTATTTGCTAGGGGCCAATTTTGCGTCAAGAGCATCGGTACTCAAACAAAAAGAAAAGAATCATGAGAGGATATTACCTTTTTTCACTATACATACCATCCTGCAGTGCAAAATCTCAAGCAAATAGTGATGGAAAACGGGAATATCAACCATTGCTAAATACGATTCGCAAAATCCTTCTATCATATCATACAATTTGAGGAAAATCCATTAAAGACACTTTCGTTAGAGCAAAAATATGTAATTTGGAGGCAATCATGCGACGCGACCACAAAACCACATAGGGAGTCCGTGCCCTCCTGTCTCTTACTTCCTTTCACGTGGAAATTCTCTCAAATACACCAACCATCAAAGAAGTAAACTCGACTGCAATTGACTCATTTTTCAATTAAAGTAGTAGGTCAAGAGAAACACAAGATTACACGCTATTACAGTGCCGTGCCGAACTACAAACGACCAAACAACTCTCACAAATAAAACACTCGTTTAAATTTACTTCAGTAACTTTTGTTGTCATTTTAAAGTGAGTAGAGAAAATATTGTGAAGATCAATCGTCGACGGAAGTGTAAAAAGGGCAAAAGTTGACGAGTACCGCTAGTTCACTCACGAAAATTGATCAACACGACGATTTCACTCGTTTTGAAAGCGTTACCAAGACCGTGGTCAGAGATAATAAAATCCAGAGCGCGCTAAGAACCAATCAGATTGCAGGATTCGTTACCGTGTCCTCTTAGAAAAAAATAATATAAATATAAGCCACGCAATGAGTTTCTAAGTATATATTTCAATACATTTTAATAGTATCCTCTTACCATGTGACGTCATGTGCCTTAACCCGAAGCAGATTGCTAACACTAGCAAGACATTACTAGACTTGCAAGCCAGATGTGTTGGTGATCGAATTAAATTACAAGAAGCAAACAGCAATCCAGAAACGCACTCTGTGACGGGCAAGGTAAGAAATGCTCAGTAGAGGAAAATATCTTCTCACCTTTAAAGAGAAATTAAATGATGTCGGACTTGATAAATGGTGTTCAAAAAACTTCCTGTACGGAAGCGCGGCCTAAAAGATGTACTTCTATAACTCACTAGAAACACAGAGCTAGCACAAGCTGTTACATATAACATAGACTCGAGCAAATGACGTAATGACTCGAACAAAGAGAATATACATTTTGATAATTGAAATAAGACGATTGCTTTCTCTTGATTTGTTTTTCTCGCAGTGTTTTCTTAAAAGAAATAGAATTTTGCATATCAACATTAAGCGATGCTTATGGCGTCATGGCTTTAAAACGATTTCAGACATTTTCTCCGTGGTTATTTCCAGATTCATTATAAATCTACAAGCATCCTACCGCGAAAGCCGTCCTCTTATTGACTACGCTACTCACTATCTATTCTCTCGTATATAGCGAGTACCCTTGCCAACAAAAATGGCGGCCGCCCCTTTACGTTTTCAAAGTGTCTTTGAAGAGGACTTTGATAAAGTTTTGAACAACTTGTAGATATATATTCAGACGATTAGATTATTCGCTCTCGATTTGTATGGGTGGTAGTTGAGTCAGGCTGCGCCCTCATCATGGTAGAAATCTCAACCTCTCAATGTAATTGTGAAATAAAAACGCAGCAGGCTTCGTAGAACTTATGCTTATGCTAAACGTCAACTAGTGAACACGCGCTGCTATAAGCATAAGTATAAACATAAAACTCGTCCGCCATTCTAATTAATTGTATCGAGGAGGTATGGAATCGAAACTAAGGCAGTTGTCCATTCTGCCCATACGCACGTGCTTGTCTTTACGACAATTTGCAAGCGAGAAGTTGTATGAAACACTTAAAACAGTGTTTCCACACAGTTCTTAATACCTCGACGTTCCTCTAATGGGAAGAACCCTCGCTAATGAAACAACTTCAACACCTAGCTTGTTACCTGCTGTTTCTTGACTATTTTATCTTGCATATCTTACCTTTTAAGTACTATTTACAACCTTTTCACTCTTTATGCAACCTTCGAAGTGCTGCAATATTTGTGAAATAATGATGTACATTATTGGAGTATCCAAAGGTCATCTCCTAGCGTTTTTTGACGTCTCTCTACTATGCTAAAAAGTTACAGTAAAAGTTACTAACATTGTAACTTATCACCCTTAAGAAGAAGACGAGTATATTGATTGATAGTGTCCTGGAATAATTCTCGGCATAATTACATTTTGTCATTTTAGCATCCAGTATCCAAAATTAATGTACCTTGGTGTTTAATCATCAAGCATGGACTGGAAGGGTGTCGATAGTCTCAGCTATATAACTCCCAAGAAAAGCAGTTTGTAAATTTTGTGGGTAAATATTCATGATTTTGTTATTAACTGACACGCGTTTCTGTCTGATAGAAAGATACCGACTCTTTACTGAAAACTACGAAAGATGAGGGAGATAACACAGGAGAAGGAACCTGGTGTAGTAATGTTCATAACACTCTGGGTAATCTTAAAAGAGCCATCGAGCACCTCGAAAGTTCTCTAAAAATTGCCAAAGAAGTAGGAGACGGGACTGGAGAGGGAGGGTCGTATGGCAATCTTGGCAACGCTTATGGCAGTCTTGGAAATTCCAAAAACGCCATCGAGTACCATGAACGACATCTAAAAATTGCCAAAGAATTGGGAGACTTGGCTGAAGAGGGAAAGTCGTATTGTAATCTTGGCTGCGCTTATCAAAGTCTGGGAGATTTCAAGAAAGCCATCGAGTGCCACGAACGACATCTAAAAATTGCCAAAGAAGTGGGAGACAGGGCTGGAGAGGGAATGTCGTATGGTAATCTTGGAAACGCTTATCAGAGTCTGGGAAATTTCAAAAAAGCTAGCGAGTACCATGAACGACGTCTAAAAATTACCAAAGAAGTAGGAGACAGGGCTGGAGAGGGAATGTCGTATGGTAATCTTGGCAACGCTTATCGAAGTCTAAGAGATTTCAAAAAAGCCATCGAGTACCATGAACGACATCTAAAAATTGCCAAAGAGGTGGGAGACAGAACTGGAGAGGGAATGTCGTATGGTAATCTTGGCAACGTTTATCAGAGTCTGGGAGATTTCAAACAAGCCATCGAATACCATGAACGACATCTAAAAATTGCCAAAGAGGTGGGAGACAGGACTGGAGAGGCAAGGTCGTATGGTAATCTTGGCAACGCTTATCAAAGTCTGGGAGATTTCAAAAAAGCCATCCAGTACCATGAACTAGATGTCAAAATTGCCAAAGAAGTAGGAGACAGGGCTGGAGAGGGAATATCGTATGGTAATCTTGGCAACGTTAATCAATGTCTAGGGAATTTCAAAAAAGCCATCGAGTACCATGAACGACGTATAAAAATTGCCAAAGAAGTGGGAGACAGGGCTGGAGAGGGTAAGTCGTATGGTAATCTTGGCAACGCTTATCAAAGTCTGGGAAATTTCAAGAAAGCCATCGAGTACCATGAACGTCATCTAAAAATTGCCAAAGAAGTGGGAGACAGGGCTAGAGAGGGAGGGTCGTATGGCAACCTTGGCAACGCTTATCACAGTCTGGGAGATTTCAAAAAAGCCATCGAGTACCATGAACGACATCTAAAAATTGCCCAAGAAGTGGCAGAAAGGGCTGGAGAGGGAATGTCGTATAGTAATCTTGGCAACGCTTATCAAAGTCTGGGAAATTTCAAGAAAGCCATCGAGTACCATGAACGACATCTAAAAATTGCCAAAGAGGTGGGAGACATGGTTGGAGAGGGAAGGTCGTATGGTAATCTTGGGAACGCTTATGGCAGTCTGGGAAATTCTAAAAAAGCCGTCGAGTACCATGAACGACATCTAAAAATTGCCAAATATCTGGGAGACAGGGTGGGAGAAGGAAAGTCGTATTGTAATCTTGGCAACGCTTATCAAAGTCTGGGAGATGTCAAGAAAGCCATCGAGTGCCATGAACGACATCTAAAAATTGCCAAAGAAGTTGAAGACAGGGCTGGAGAGGGTAGGTCGTATGGTAGTCTTGGCAACGCTTATCAAAGTCTGGGAAATTTCAAAAAAGCCATCGAGTACCATGAACTAGATCTAAAAATCGCCAAAGAGGTGGGAGACAGGGCTGGAGAGGGAATGTCGTATGGTAATCTTGGCAACGCTTATCAAAGTCTGGGAGATTTCAAAAAAGCCATCGAGTACCATGAACGACATCTAAAAATTGCCAAAGAGGTGGGAGACAGGACTGGAGAGGCAAGGTCGTATGGTAATCTTGGCAACGCTTATCAAAGTCTGGGAGATTTCAAAAAAGCCATCCAGTACCATGAACTAGATGTAAAAATTGCCAAAAAAGTAGGGGACAGGGCTGGAGAGGGAATGTCGTATGGTAATCTTGGCAACGTCAATCAATATCTGGGAAATTTCAAAAGAGCCATCCAGTACCACGAACGACATCTAAAAATTGCCAAAGATGTTGAAGACAGGGCTAGAGAGGGAATGTCGTATGGTAATCTTGGCAACGCTTATCAAAGTCTGGGAAATTTCAAGAAAGCTATCGAGTACCATGAACGACATCTAAAAGTTGCCAAAGAAGTGGGAGACAGGGCTGGAGAGGGAAGGTCGTATTGTAATCTTGGCAACGCTTATCATAGTCTGGGAGATTTCGAAACAGCCAGCGAGTACCAGGAACTACATCTCAAAATTGCTAAAGACGTTGGAGACAGAGCTGGAGAGGGAAGGTCGTATGGTAACCTTGGCAACGTTTATCAAAGTCTGGGAGATTTCAAAACAGCTATCGAGTACCATGAACTACATCTAAAAATTGCCAAAGAAAGGGGAGACAGGGCTGGAGAGGGAAAGTCGTATAATAATCTTGGCAACGCTTATCAAAGTCTGGGAAATTTCAAAAAAGCCAGCGAGTACCAGGAACTACATCTAAAAATTGCCAAAGAAGTGGGAGACAGGGCTGGAGAGGGAAAGTCATATTGTAATCTTGGCAACGCTTATGGCAGTCTGGGAAATTTCAAAAAAGCCATCGAGTACCATGAACGACATCTAAAAATTGCCAAAGAAGTGGGAGACAGGGCTGGAGAGGGAATGTCGTATGG